GACTCACCCGGACACCTTCCCTCCTGAAAACTCCGATGAATGACCCCCAGCCATGCTCCCACAGGGCCAGCCCAGCATGATTCCTAGACTTGGCTTTTCCTCCATTCTGGGTTTTTGGCGTCATATTGAGTCCCAATACAGGATTCAAGATAATAGAAAACAAGATAATTTCTGGGCTGCGTGTGTCGGTCGACGCATCCTCCAGCTGCTCTAAATCATTTCTCCCGTCCTTGCTTCAGGGATGCTTAGCTACTGTCCTGTGTACTGGCCTTCTCCAGAGAAACAGAACCGACTGGGTATGTGCACGGAGGGAAAGCGACTTCTTTTAAGGAACTGTCTCATGCCCTTAAGTAGACTGACAAGTCCCAAGTCCGCAGCCTGGACGCAGACCCAGGCCGAAAGCGTCTTTTCTGAACCTGGGTTCCAACTGAACCTGGAGGGGCTGGGAGAGCACCACACTCACAAGCAGGGGTTCTGGAGCTGGTCCAGCGAATCCCCTAGGGAGCTGTGAGAACCTGGAGAAAATTCTGACTTTCTGGGCCTCAGTTTCCTCATCTGTAACCTGGGGGGAAACAACAGTATTCGCCTCACAGGGCTGGGTGGGAATGATCGGAGATGATGAACACCCAGCACACAACAGATGGCGGGTGTTCAATACATCATGTTCCTTCCTCTCTTGTGAGCCGGAACTGGGCACCGTGTCACCTTGGAGACCTAGGGGACACAGGCAAGTGCCAGCTCTGCAGAGCAGCCCTGGGAGGAGCCCGAACCTGCTGCAACAAGCTGGGGAGGCTCACGCCCGAGGCCTTTCCAGCGTCTCTCTGGACTTGGAGCATGTGATGGCCAGGAAACTGTACATACACACTCCTGCCACAGCTCGTGTGCCCCACCACAAACCCAGGGCCACCCCAGAACCCGGGGCGTCAACAAGAAGTAGCTGATGATTAATAAAAAACTGTAGGTTTCTTTGGCATTTTCCACATAACCTCTTCAGTAAATGCTATCACTACTCCACATACCATTATCTTAATTGTTGCAATCTTGTTGGAGTTTTTTTTTTTCAATCTTAAACTGTCGTACTTGGCCAAGATTACTCATCCAAAGAAAGCACTTTTTTTTTCTATTTTGATGGAAGAGTGGTTTGAGTTTCCTTAGAATGAAAAGCTGCTTCTGGCTTCCTTTCATATCGTTCTGAACACACATTAAGAGCAAGGAGGACTCTGTGGCCATTGGACCCCACGGCCCTCGGCCAGGTGGGGGGGCCTGTCAGTAAGGAAGGCTTGTTATACCACCAACATGCTCAGCAGTTTACAAATGTAGCTCAGAATTGGAATCGTTTACAGCTGGCAATGGGTCACCAGTGTCGTCCCAGTCTGCCAGGTGACCAACCGTGAACTGCCTGCAGCAGTAACTCGCCCCACGGCGGTCACGTCCCCACTGAGACTCCCCGATGGCTCCATTTCATTTTGGGCGAACTCCACCTGCCTCACCCACGGCCCGGCACCAACGCCGACCGTCACCTGTCTCCCTCACACACTCAGTCACGGCGACCTGCTGCTGGTCCTCGAGCTGCCGGGGCCGAGCTTGCGCCTATCCTGGGGCATCTGCCCTCGCTGCGCCTTCTACACGGGTTGCTGCTCCCCCTTCTCCTCATATGCCTGACTCGGCTCAGAGCCGCCTACCCAGGAAAACCTTCTCCAGCTGCCCGAAAATCTAGCCCCCGGACCCTCCAAGCTGCATGGCAGGGGGGTTCTCTTGCTGGGGTCCTCACAGCAGTCCTGTTCAGCTGGCAGTCTCTGGCGCGTCAGACCCTGTCTCATGCGTCACTGGACCCTAGAGGGAACCCCATCTGACAAATAGCACCTCCAGTAGACGCTGTCTAGGGGATAAGTGAACGTAATATCCCCCTTTTTTGTTACCTGAGTCTCATCCAAACTCTCTGGAGCGGACATCACCGTGATGCCCATTTCTTGGTCGAGGAGATGGGCTCGGAGATGTGAACTGACTCCCCCTGAGGCCCTTTATCTCGTTATTCATTGCTGTGTATCGAGCCGCCCGCCAAAGTTACTGCCTTAGAATTGCAAGGACACGTCCCTTCTCTCGGTTCCATCGGCTACCTGGGTGCTTCTTCTGGTTTTGCCTGTGCTCACACACGTGGCTGGGACAGGTGGGACACAGCCATCATCCTCCACGTGGCCCCTCATTCCAGCTGTCTTCACAGCCTGCTGGTCTCAGAGCACGATTCCCAGAGGGTGGAAGGAAGCTGAGCACCGCAGCCACAAAAATGGACCAGCATCCCTCCCACCAGGTCCTGTCGGTCAAGGAAGCCACAGGCCAGCCCAGACCAGCCAAAGGGCCACAGACTCCACTCCTGCGGGCAGGTGCTGTCACAGCAGAAGAGCTGGCACCAAACCGTGACCCACCGTTGAGAGTCTATCACAGCTAGGAAGTGTTGGAACCAGCCCGACCGGACCCCCGACTCTCAGTAAGGAAACTCGAGGGGTCCTGATGATCCGGCACCTAGTGACTCCAGGAACCTGAATGGCTCAGAGCAAATTTGCCTTGCACTCCAATTCCGTGTCCACCGGGGGCTGGCGGGGGCTCTGGGAGGACTTTACTCTGGGAGAACAGCCCTCCTGGGACGTTGGCTAGCGGAGCCAGGCTCGTGACCAAAAGGGAAGGGACAGGCCAGCACTGGCTGGCCCAGAGCCCCTTCACAGAGGGGACACTGATCACCTCCACCCACACGTCAGTAGCCTGCAGGGCACTGACACACCGTCCTCTCTCCGCGAGGGGCACTGAATAGAAGTGAACAGTCACCCCACAAACGTGGGGTCCATTTTCCTCTTCAGTCCTTAAAAAAACAAAGCATTCTCTACGGAGCCAAAAGGACTCATTCTGTCCCTACCATTGTTCCAAGCGCTGCTGTCTCACCTGCGCCCTCTGCCCAGAATGCCCTTCCCGGAGACAAAGGTCGCCGCAGGCTTCTCCCTTCCAGGATACACCTCCCAGCCTTTCCAGAAACCCAGCCTGAAAACCTGCCAGAGACCTCACTACTCACAGGATCAGGCCCAAACTCCCATCCCTGTCCGGTCCTTAAAGCCCCCTGTGCCCCCCGCCCATGGAGTCCTGCGAGGCTGCCTGCCCGTCCCACTTGTCCCAGGCTGTTCAGGCGCCACGGTCTCCATGCTGCTTCTCTGTCTCCAGGCCTCCCCTTCCTCCCCACCGGGTGAACTGGGGCTTCTCCCATCAGGTCTGGCTCTGAAATCACTCCTCTCTGAAGCAGGTCAGTGGACTTTCTCTTTTTCTAACCCTCTTCATGATAGCATCACGCGTTCACTCGTCAAGCACAGGTATTGGGCATCTATTACTATGTGCCGGGTGCTGTTCCAAGCTCTCGGGAGACACAGGGAATCGTACAAGCAAGACCCCTTCTCCTGTGGTTCCATGCTGGTGCAGGGTGGCAGACAGTGAGTGTGCAAACAAGATCATTTTAGATACTGATAAGTGTTTTCATTACAATAAAAAGGGGTGATATGAAAAGCACTGTGGCAAAGGAGGTCTGTGGTGAGAGAGTGGGGCCTCGCTGATGGCAGGGGGGCGGGGGGGCCGCTGTGGGAAGGCCATCTGAGGGCGATGTGGTCCGGCCTGGCCTGTCGGGGCACCGGGTGGAAGTCACCCCAGCAGAGGCGCACGGAGGGAGGCAGGGGTGGTGAGAGGGGAGGTTAGAGAGGTGCGCTGCAGCCAGACCGCGCCGAGGGTGAGACAGGGTGTTCTGATTTCTTCTGACTATAACAGGAAGTCAAGGGACCGCTTTCAGTCCTTTGTGGACATTGCTTTGTGGCTTTTGCAGGTGAGCAAGAGGGGAATCTGGGAAACCAGCCTGGAGGCTCTTGATGTCCTTCCAAGATGCTGGTGACTTAGATACATAGACCACAATGGCCTCACCTAGAAGCTGTGACCTTGCTGCTCTAGGGGACTGTGCCCTTAGCCTCTGCCTCAGTGCGTAGCACAGGACTGGGTCCACGGTGGCGGAGGGATTTAGGCAGGTACGCCAGTCACTATGCATACACGTCTGAAATTTAGTCACCTGCACTAGCCCCCTTTCACTCACCTGTGCTACACTTCTCCAGAAACTCCCCTACAGGGATCACGTTCCCCAGGCAACCAGGGGGCGACCCATCTGCCCCTCCGATGGGTGAGCAGCCCCAGGCTTCACACAACACCCGTGGCCATCCTGCCCACCAGGCTCCCACTGCCGAGGTCTGTGCGGTTCACACAGCAGCCGACACAGCTTGGTACGTGAGAGCTAGGTTTTCCTATCTGCGCCTTCATTTTTCTCACCTGGAAGATGGGAGTTATTTTCCCCACCCACAAAGCCGCTCTCCCGAGACCCTCTTCCCTGCCTCTTGTGTCTCTCCACCCCTTCCTTCAACTAGGACAAATCTGCTCTATTTTCTGAAGTTCCACTGACGCCAGAATGATCAAAGCTTTTCCCTGGAAACTAGCTCTTCCTTTCTCTTCCAGCCTGATTCTGGGCTGGGTGCTACCTGACCCAGGTATGGAGTGGAGCCTTCCCAGGGCAGACCCTCAGCTGTGGGTGGAGGCTGGTGCTGGGCCACAGCCGGGAGTCCCCTTCCACTCAGCCAATTACCGCACAGCTGGACGCCTGGGTTCCTGGCCGGGCTGCAGGGGGTATGGGCACGGCCAGGGGAAGAAGTGAGAGAAAGAGCAGGCAGTGTGGCAGAAGGAAAGAGGGAGGGGGAGGGAAGAAGGTCCAGGAAAGAGGAAAAGAGAGAGTGGGTGAGGGAGTGGACAGGGACACTGAGTGGGGACAGGGAGAAGAGCACAGGGTGCTCAAGCGCTGTGCACCCGGCAGCTGGGGGAAGGGGACAGGGAGGGGGAGAGAGACTGGGAGAGAAAGGAAAGGGAGGCGGTGGAGAGCGAGGAGGAGCAAGCGGGAGGCGGAGACCAGGAAGTGAGTACGAGGCTGGGGCTCGGGGCACGGGCTGTCCTCTCCATCCCTGCTGGGAGCCGTCATCGGAGCCGGCGCGGCACAGGACCAAGGAGAGCCGGCACCGCGCTGGGCAGCAGCAGCCCCAGGTAACTCAGCCGCCGCCTCCCTGAGGGGCCTGGGCTTGCGTGGGGTCCCAGGCTGTGTCTGCTCGGGGTTTCTTCATGGCTGTCCTGTCCCCAGCCCCAGGATCCAGCCACTCTGCTGCTCCCTGGCTGTGTGTGACCTTGGGCTAGTCCCTCAGCCTGACAGCCTCAATTTCTTCTCTGTGACCCTCGGGGTCGTACTCCTCCCCAAGGTTGTGCTTCATGCATGGCATGCACTCCCGGTCTGCCCGGGGTTGGGCGTGTGTCCCCTCCGCCCGCGTGGGGTTGAATTTGCAAAGTCCACCTGTGTGGAAACAAGTTTCTGGTTTGACCCTGGGTCTGGGTGGAAGCGTTGGAGCAGGAAGCCACTTTCTGCCCCAGGAAGGCCAGCAGAGGCCTGGGCAGCGAGGAGGGAGACTCCGTTCTCCAGGGCTGTTGCCCACGCCGGGAGCTAGGATGCACGGCCATCAGCCCAGTGGGAGTCGTCCTCCGGGGCCATCTGGAGACAGATTCACCTCGGGGATGAGCCAGGCAAGTGGCCTCAGCTAGAACCCCAGTCCCCTGCTTAAACCATGCAGCTGGCCTTCAGCAAGAGACGTGTTTCCTCCCCACTAAGGGTTACGCTAACGCTGGCTTTGAGATGGAGTGAGGATGGGGGGGGGGGCAGGGAAGCACCTGCATGTCATGGTGTCCTCACCAGGCATCTGTCCTACCCTAACTTGGGGGTGCAGAGTCCAGGGGACCCATACCCTTTGCCTCCCTGGGACTCATCTGTCATCACCAGGTCCCCCCTGGTTTCCTTTACTAGGAGAGGGTTTGTGGCCCCACTGGGCACAAAGCAGGGCCCAGGGAATGGGGGCAGGGCAGGAGGCCCCCCACCCCCACCCCCACCAGCCCAGACACACATCCTGATGGCTCTCTGGGACATGAAATCTGTGAGATGACATGAGATGACACTTTATGTCTGTAGAGATTCCTGGGTTTATCTCAGAACCTCAGTCTCCTGTTTGCGATAGGAAGTTATAAACTCTTACCTACGGATGAGTTCCCTGTAGGTGATGAAGGGCAATTAGACAGACACATGTATCGTCCCCTCTGACCCTGAGGTAGGACGAGAGCGGAACGAAACGAGAAAACAACACTTCTCTGACATCTGCCCCGTGCGGCCCGCCGTGCTGAGTACACAGTAGCGGCTACGGTCATCTCGACAGTCCTGGGAGGCGGTGCCACTGGACCCCACTCTACAGAGGAGGAAACAAGGCTGGTGGGGGTCTGTAATGTCCACAGGGCCACCCTGGCGGGAGGTGCTTGTGCTGGCATGGGCCCCAGGCCTGCCTGGCTCCAGACTGCTTCCAGCAGCACCACGCCAGCCCCGGCGTGGGCTGTGACGGGTGTCTGGCACCGGACCGGGCACCTGGCAGGTGCCAACCCGACCCGCACGGATTTTCTCTTGTCTCACACGTCATAGGAGGGGCTGCTGAATAATCACTGGGAAAGTGAGTCTGGAAGCTGGCAGTGCGGCTGGGGCGCCTCTGCCAAGTGATTTCTCAAGGGGCCTAGAAGGAAGGAAGTCACGGTCAACACCACATGGGAGGCAGAGATCAGGCTGACGCCCATCCCACCTGCTCCTCTTCCTTCCTCAACCGCTTCGTCCTCGGTAACCTTGTCTCCATTAACCCCGGGCCCGGGCTCACTCGCACTTTCTGTTCTCCATCCTCCGTGGAGGACTGACTCCGCCGACCCCACAGATGAGGTATCTGAGGGGAAAACAAGGCCAGCTGCGGCCCATCTGCATGCACCAGGGCCCCAGAGAAGGGGAAAAAGGATTAAGACCCAATCCCCGGGATTTAGCTCAGTCCCCGGGAGGAGCTCCCTGCTGGTGGGAAAATGGTGTTCAGACAGGCTAGAGAGGTTTCTTTGCCAAAAAGTGTTTTAAAAGAAGATGTGCACATCCAAACCAAATGATGAGAAATGAACAGAGGCTCTTTCAAATGCAAACATATTCATCAACAACTGGAGAGTGCCTCAGTGGCCAACAAGAGGGACCAATTGAGTTTTGAGACACCATGTTGCTGCTAAACATGAAGAGTCTTTAATGAATGGGGACATGTTGATGCATATGCGTGTGTATGGCATGGTCACAAATCTGGGGCAGGCACTTGGGGAAAAAAGACTGGAAGGAAAGGAGCCAAAGAGCATGAACAGTGCTTGCCAGTAGGTGGCAGCATTACGGGATACTTGCTCCTCGACGCCAGCATTTCCGAACTTTCCAGATTTTAAGCAGTGAGCACACACTTTAACGATGAGCAGGCATAGTACTGTCTGGCTTCTGGTGACAAGCTAACCACTCCCACCTCCTCCTGGTCAGCACCCAAGACAGGGCTGGCACGTGGACAATTGTCAATGATAGGGCCACCTCTGCCTTGGGGTCTGGGTGGCCCTTTAGAAGGGAAAGAAATACTAACATTTTTTAAAGATTTTATTTATTTATTGTTAGAGTGGGAAAGGAAGGGGGACAGAGAGGAGGAGGAACATCAATGAGTGGTTGCCTCTAGTGTGCCCCCCACTGGGGACCTGGCCCGAAACCCAGGCGTGTGCCCTGACTGGGAATCGAACCAGCAACCCTTTGGTTTGCAGGCCGGCACTCAATGCACTGAGCCACACCAGCGTGGGCTGAAATACTAAAGTATTAATGTCTGACATCCTCTGTGTTCTTACTATGTGCTCTCCATAAGCCTATGAGGTAGGGGCCACCAACACCCCATTTTATAGAGAAGAAACCGAGAGTCGGATACATTCAGCCACTTACACAGCCCGGGGTCTGTCACGCATGATTCAATCCCAGGCCATCGGAATCCAGAGCCTAAGCAGAGTCAGGGGGCCGACAGATTCCATCAGCTGACGCTGGAGCACCTAGTGCAGACCCCCTGGGGGCAGTGGCGCATCTCTGCAGGTGAAGGAATCTCTGCATGGCATCTCCATGGCTCTGCATGGCATCTCTGCATGGCATCTCCACATGGCTCTGCATGGCATCTTCATGGCATCCACATGGCTCTGCATGGCATCTCTGCATGGCTGTGCATGATATTTTCACGGTCAGTCCAAGTTGCAGCACGTGTCAGCACTTCCTTTTCAGGGCCAAAATCACTCACCTCCGCCGGTCAACGGGCACGCGGGCATTTCTACTCCCTTGGCTACTCTGAGTGATGCTGCCACGAGCATCGCTGTACAGGTTTTCGAGAGGACACGCATTTTCATTTCTTTGGGGAACGAACCTCAGAGGGGAATTCCTAGGTCACGTGGCGCGACTCTGTGTCACCGTCGGAGGAACTGCCGGGCTGTTTTCCACCGCGGCAGCCGCCCCGTTTCACATTCCCACTGGCAGTGAGGGTGTGAGGGTTCCAGTGTCTCCATTACCCGACTTTTGGGTTCTGGCCGTCGTCGTGGGTGTGACATAGTACTATTGCCTTGTGGTGTTGATCTGCGTTCCCCGATGGCTAACGAATTTGAACGTCTTTTCTGGGGCTCTGCGACCGTTGCAAATGCAAACCCGGCAGAGGCCCGTCTCCCGGGCTGTACGTGATCAGGCGCCGCTCGAGTGGCCTGCATCCGTCCTCACACACTCTGCTCTGGCCACACGGGCCTCAGGCGGCAGGCTGCTCGCCCCCCAGAATCCCCCCACTCGAGGCCTTTACATGGATGTCTCCCCTGCCCAGTCACCGTTCGCAAAGCCTTCCTTGGGTCAGCCTCAGCGAGGCCGTCCCTCCATCCCGGTCCCCTCTGTCTCGAGGGCTAGCACCTCCCAGGCCCTTTCTAGCACATCCTAAATCTTCTTTTGACATAAGTATATATTTTTTTACTATCTGATAAGAGCTGGAAGAACTGGGCTGCAGACATGACAATACCTCTCATCACCATGTGAACCTGGGCCAGCCACCACCCCACCTCAGACCTAGACGGGGGCACGCTGGCTGATGTCCCAGGGCTTGGCTGACCCAGCCCTTCTTTGATCCTGGCTCCTGCGTGACACCGCTGCCAGGAGGGCATGGACCTGGCACCGTGGCCATGAGAGCAAGGTGGCTGGAGCCAAGTTGGTCACGGATCAGAGCTGGCGGAGTGGCTGATGACTGCCAGCCCTGTGGGGACAGTCTCCAGGTCCACACGGCTGCTTTGACTTGGTGCCCAGCCTCCAGGAACAGCAGAGAGAATTGTTAATAGCTCTAGGAAGGACCGGACACCTCGGCCACTCTCAGCTCTGGAATGGCCTGGTTGTCCTGTGTGAATAATCTTCTCACTTCCAGACCCTCTCTGAGCATGTGTGAGGCTCTCTGGGTGCCTGGGGCACAGACGGCGTGATGGGTAAAGGGGAGGAAGCTGAGTGGGGAGCTGGAGGAAGGCGGGGCCGAGTCTGCGCCAAGTGCTGTGCAACTGCTTGTGCATCACCGAGCTCACACCCACTGAGCTCTGTGAGTGCTGGGTCATTTATCCTCCCAACAGTCAGATAACTGGGACTCTAGTTCCTTCCTTCCGCCAGCTGAGGCATCCGAGGCAGAGATACCAAGCTACTGCTCCTTATAGCCATGCAGGGAGGCGCAACGGGGCCAGAATGTAACCCAGGTGGCCACTTCTAGAAGCTTCTTGCTCTTCAGCCCCACAAGCCTCTTGACTGCCCTGCCCCCCACCCAGCGGGGTTGGGATTATCACCCCCGTTTCATGGGATGAGAAGCTGGGCTAAAAGCAAAGTCACCTGGCCAGCAGGGTCTCACAGTGAGAGCACAGCTGGGAGCAGGACCCCCAGCTGCTGTGAGAGTCCTTCCCCGCCAGGGCCCGGAGGCTGAGAAGAGGGTGGGGTGAGGGGCAGGCTGGGAAGACTGGCCTCCTAACGGAGCACAGCCCCGCCTGGCCTTGTAGACCGTCAGGGCGGTCCGCAAGCCGGCCCTGCACACACTTCCGGATGCAGACCCCTGCCTGGTTTCAGTGCTCACATCTCCCTGCTTCTGGCA